CTAGGTGGTAAGTTATGAGTGTTCACTATAAATTTCTTTCAATATTTTTATGTGTTAGAAAGTTTTCATAATTTAACAGTTTAACAATGTAAAAGAGCTGTGTAGTTAAAACCAAAAATCCCATTGCTATTAAATCTAATTTAAACTCATAGCACCTCTATAGGGTTTCCAAAGCTGTAAATCTTTACTAAAGCAGAGTGCTTCATCCAAACCTTTCAGTTTAGCAGTCAAGCACTTTACCAAATCTCCTTCTATGCAGTTATCTGTTGTTGTTGTTATGTGCCATGGAGTCGGTTCCCACTCATAGCAACCCTGCACAGGGTTTCCGAGGCTGTTAATCTTTATGGGAGCAGAACGCCAAGTTTAAGCAACATTGTAGTATTGTCTATCCCCAAGATCATTATGTTTTCAAAGTACATAAACAAATTAAGAAAAATGTAATTCAACACTAGAAATTACTACTAGCCTTTTCATTTTTATTTCTGTCAACAACTAAAAAGATATTACAATGAAGAGAAATTTTAACATTTCTTCATATCCTCTTCAAAGTTTAACAGACTAGTATTTATCCTACAGTGCCATACCTGGATTCCAAGTTAGCATGAGCATTTAAAATGTGAAAATCCTAATGGGAAAGAAAAAGTTACAAGGTTTTGATGATGGATCTAACTTCTTCAGGGCTCAGTATATGTCTCATGAAGCTCAAGGATTACTACCTATACAAGTCACCACACTTAACCAAAACAGGAGCAGGTCCAATACCATCATTCAGTTGTTCAGCTGAAGGTACTTCCCGCACCTCACCTCTATTGTGTATTTGTGGTTTATAATGAACCCAAAAGTTCAAGGCTAGACAAACTTTAATTACAAATAAATCAGTGACAATGTACCTGTTCTGAAGTGTAGCTGGACAGCTGATACTAATGATTCCAACAAGTGACTTTGTAAGAGATTTGGGGATGTATTTTTTTTTTTTTTAAACCCATTTTGTCCTTTTTTTGTCTGCAAAGTGAAGAAATACATGAAGACTTCAAAGTACAGAAAGTAGTCCGCAACATACAAATAATCTATGTTCCAAAGAAATATGAAAACATTCCTGTAACTAATTAATACTACAGTACTATTCATACAGAGTCCTGGTGTGGTGCTGCAGGTTAATGCTCTGGACTGCAAATCAGCAGTTCAGGTTCACCATCCACTCCCTGGAAAATCTATACGGGTCGCAATGAGTGGGAACCTACTCAACCGAACTTAACAATTCATACCACAGTTTCTATAGAAAAGTTTCAACTCTAAACTTCAGCTTTCTAACCTGCAGAATGGCAGATCTGCTCCTCTTTTACAACTAACTGCAGCTCAAACTCAAAGCTCAGAAAATCTCTCTCTCTGGTCCTAGGGAGAATTCACTACAACCTGTAAAGGGGGAAAAAAAAAAAAAGGGTAGCAAGCTCTTCTTACACAGAAAGCTTTTACAAATGTTTCCATGGGAAAAACTGCCATACTTTTACAAGACAGTGATTATGGAAAACATACAAGAAAAAGTTACAAGAAACATAACTAAAAACTAGAAAGGGCTTCAGATAAAACAAACAAAAACCGTACTACTTGTCAAGTTCATTCCTACTCATAGTAACTCTACAGGACAGAGTAGGATTGCTTCAGAGGGTGTGCAAGGCCATAAATCTTTACAGAAACAGACTGCCACATCATTTTCCTGTGTACAGGCTGGTGGGTTTAAACTGTAATGCTTCAGGTAGATAAAAGCAGGTGCTGTTAAACTAGTTTACCCAACTAAACCAACTGTTTGGCAAGTACAGACAACAGATTCTCAAATTGCTTCTTCATGTCTGATCAACTCAACTGATAAGGATAGAAATTACTAAGTGAGTTCTGAGGAGAAAAATCTAAGTGCAAAACCCACTGCCATTGAGTTAATTCCGCGTACTTTTAAATTCAATAAATGTACAATATTCACCATCATAGACGACCCTCTTCTAATTGTTATTGCTATTATTAAGTGCCATCGAATCACTTCTGACTCACAGCGAACATATACATACAAGTGTTTCCAAGGAACTGCTGATGGATTTGAACAACCAACCTTGCAGTTCAAACAGGGTTTATAGCACACTACATCAGGACTCCTATAACAGTTGGTAAGGTTTATAAAATAACTTGGGTGATGAATTTAAAATACGAGTATAACTTTGTGACAATGAGTCATTTTTGGCAGTTAACTTAAGTCTTACACAATTAAAGAACTATTTAAAACGTGTAGAAATAACTCATAACCAAATAGAGAAAGTAAACCATTCACTAAAAAGACTTCAGAAATCAAAAACAGTGACATAGGTATGAAAAAAAGATTCAAGAAAGTGTGGGCAGGTCAGAAGAGACTGCTTTGTGGATACAGATCCTGAGAGAAACCCTTAAAAAATTACTAAAGGTTCATGTCATTGCTACATGGTAAAACTGTAATCTGACAGACTTCTACACTAGCAAGACACTAGATTATAGACCAGTTAAAAGTGTAGATACTATTAGTAGCTTTGCAGGAAAATTGCTTTAAAAATATAATTAAGACATGCAATTCACTCTCAACCCCTTTGATTTTTAAAAAATTCCAACAAGAATATAAGAATGAAATGTCTAACTGCTTAAGATCTTCAAAAAATAAAACAGAATTGGCCATAATAGAGATTTGGGGGCCGGGATTGGGGTGTCTGAAATCTGATTCAGTCAACTGAAGAATTTTACTTATATAATTACTTTACACTGGCAAATCTCCCTTCGCAATAGGGACAATTCCTTTATTACATATATTCATTTCCCATTAATCAGAATGACCTATCATTATGAGAATAAATGGAATAAAATAAAATGTAAATATTAAAGCTCCAACAGTAAGCAGAATACTTGTATTTAATAAGTGGGTTTTTTAAAGATTGAAAAGGTGTATGCTTAGATTCATATATAAGAATTAAAAGGGTTTGCTCACCAAGCATATTTTTTAAATCGAAAGAGAAAAATCAACTTTTAGTTAGCATATTAAAAAAAAAAACCACTTAATTACCTTATCTGTGAAGCATCCTGATAACACCTAATTACATTACTCAGTTTTAATAGCAATCTTTGGCTGACTTGATGCATATTTCTAATCTTCCTTCAAAATAAGAATAAGAAAAAAAAAAAAAAGACAAAAAACGTTTCTTCATTCAGTAGTGAATTTCAGCTTCACTATGATTTTAAACAGTACTCAGACTTCCATTTTTAAGAATGGTACTCTCTTTGGAAATGGTGTTCACATTTTTAGCTGTAATGATTGGCCAGTCATGCATTTCTTCCGTTTTAATCTAAATAAACATAACTTTCTCTTTTCACGTTGTTCAATAAAATACTAACAGTTTTCATTTTCATTTTTACATGATTTCCTCAAGTGATTCATAGCTAAGACTACCTAAGAATACTACATCTAGTTAATAAGGCTTCATACATAATCTTAGGCTCATAAATAATCAGCACAAATTTACTTTCTTCTATAATGCCAAGAACCGTAACACTTGTTTAAAAAACAAAAAATCTAATGCTGGGGAAAAAAAATAAAAAATCTAATGCTAGGGAAAAACAAACAAACAAAAACAAAGCAAAGCCTCTAAATTATATTAAAACATTTACAGAAAAATGCCATAGTAATTAACTGTTTATCTATATTGAATTCTCCTCTGGTGGTGCTCAGCAGATGATATACTAACCCATTTTTCTCTCTAGATCAGAACTTCAATAGGGCATCTTACTGCATGGGTAACTCCTCCAAAAAAAATACGTATTATCTGTATATATATGATTCTTAGAATTCGCTCTCTTTATTTCCAAAGATAAAACAAACACACCCACATTTAATCAGTTCTAATAATAAAGTAAAATTAACTCAAAGCTGATCAGTTAAGAAGATGAAAAGTTAAATAGGTATATTTTCTCAGATGAAAGACTACTCAACTCAGGTTGGACACTGCTGCTATTGTTATGTGCCGTGGAGTCGGTTCCGACTCATAGCGACCCTGTACAGGGTTTCCGAGGCTGTAAATCTTTACGGGAGCAGAAAGCCTCATCTTTCTCCCGCGGAACACCACTAGCGAGGGGAAAAAAATGAAGGCAATCTTCCTCATCTAGATAATTCAGAGTAGTGTAGTATCCATTAGTGCTTTTTTTTTTTTTTAAGGGGGGGGCGGTGGGATTCCTAAAACTGCCTGGTCAGTCCCCGATAGCATGTCCAAGTTGGGTGTCGGAGGCTAGGGCTGCCCTCCCCTGCCGTCCGCTCCTTCCCCACGCACAGCCCTCCCGGTAAACAGCAATACAGGAACTACGGGACAAGGCTTTTGGCGAGCGTGCGGAACACACTGAGGCTGACAGTTGAGCTAGCAGACTAATGATCTTGCTCCCCACCTCAACCCCAAATGACTGTGGACCAGGGCGGTGCAGACTGCACGGGAGGGCCAGGAAAACAAAGCCACTCCTGAAAACACCTCCCGCGAAAGAAATAAGAGTGCCCGGCGCTCAGCTTACTTTCGGGGATTGCATTTCCCCCGCCCGTATCATGGGAGCCGAAGGAGCCGCGGAGAACTGCGAGGCTGTGCTGCCGAGAGCCCGGCACTTCAGGGTTCCTCCCCTCCAGCGGCTCCAGGGCAGCTCAGGCCGAGCCCCTCCGCAGGAGCAAAAATCAAAGGCGCGAGCCGCGGGCGGCAGAGAGCAGACGCCAAGGAGCAGCCCGGCGGCTCCCGGCGTGGCGACTCAGGAGCACCGGCGCAGCCGCCCTCCGGGGGTCAATCTCAATCGGGGTCCCAGACGCCTCGGCCTCCTGCGGCGCGGGGCAAACTTCGCCCGCAGGCAGGGGGCGCGCCCGGAGCCCCGCGCCCACCACGGCCAGGGCGCGAGCGAGTTCGGCGGCGGGCAGAGGCGCGGGTCCCGGGTGCCCGGGAGGGGGGAGGGGCGCGAGCACTTACCACGGGTCGAACTCGTGGATGATGCTTTCGAAGCGGATGACGGCGAAGAGGCGCGAGCTGAAGCCGGCTAGCCAGGCCAGGAAGAGGATGGTGAAGGAGAGCAGCGACTGCCAGCCAGCCGGCTGCGACAGCCCCCCGGACAACCCCGCGGGGGCCGACTTTGGCGGCGCTGCGCCGCCCGCCGCCTTGTGCGCGCACTGGGCCCCGGGCCCGTGGTGGCCGTGCCGACTGTTCCCCAGGGCCATCAGGCCGCTCCACGGGGACGAGTTGAGGGACGACTTGTGCTTGCTCTCCGGGGCCGAGGGCTCCGCCATGTTGTGCCCCGGCGGCGGGTCTCGCTCTTAGCCGCCGCCGCCGCCGCCGCCGCCTGGTGCGAGGGGTGCTGGGCGGGGACCCGGAGGAGGAGGAGGAGGAGGAAGAAAAGAAGGAGGGACGAGCTCCGCGCGCTCCCGCCCTCAGCGCCGCGAGGCTGAGGGACTGGGGGTGGAGGCGGCAGCGGGGATTCTCCGCCTTAGCAGCGGCCGCGACCGCCGCTCTCTCAACGTGGATAACCCTTGCACCCCACTAGCCATCCGTATCCCTAGTGCAGCTGCTGTGGCGGCTAAAGCCAACGGGACAAGGGCGCCAGAAAGGAGCAGACGGAGGAGGAACCAGGGCTCGGAACAGCAATGACATGCCCCCCTCACGGCCGTCGTCGGCCCTGCCGTGAGGAGCAGGGGGAGGAGCCCCCGGAGTCCGGGCGGAGCTCTGGCTACCGCTGGCTCCGCCCCTAAACCAACAGGAACTGACCCCTCCGCCTGTCACAAAGCGACAGGTCCGTGAGGGGGAGGGCCCAGAACCGGGGCACCCGCCAATAGGAGGGCGACCCGGGCGGGGCTTGAACCAACCGTCCTCCCCCTCCCCGTCTGTGCCTCGCGCCCATTCGCCTGGAGCTGCAGAGCTGCGCGGTTACGGTTTCATTGTCGGTTGAAAGACGCGGTTTCGTGCGCGTGTTCAATCGGCAACGGAGGACGCTAGAAGAGTCCTTCCATTTAATGGAGCTCAGCTCGGCCAGGAGGTGGTCGAGAGCGGCGGCGCGACCTCAGTCAAACTCGCGCAAAAGAACGTGGAAAACGCTGCGGTTGCCGGCCGAGCGTTCACGGACTCTCAGTGGGCGTGACTTTTAACCCTCATTGCGAGTAGCGCGCGCCACGTGACTGGTTGCGCAGGCGCGCTGCACTAGCCTTGGGCGCGTGGATCTGGCTGACCGGGCTCAGCTGCGACCGGCGTCCCGCACTCTGGACTAGGAGTAACTTAGTGACGGGCAGACTATGCCCCGGGGACTTACCCGCACCCTTCTCCGCCACCACATGAATCCTGTGAGGCCAGGGAAGACAACTTTGTGGTTGCTGAAGACTCTCGGGAGTCGGCAAACGCGTTCCTGGCACTAGAATGCTTTTAGCAGTGTGTGTAAGGCATGACCTTCTCCCGCTTTTTCAATTCATGTCTCTAATTGCAAGACTAATGTCTTATTGTAAATATAGGGAAATACAAGAATCACTGTCTATATATACATTGCTTCAAGTGAGTGGAACTATTTAACTAGAATTTCATCGCTTACCAGTCCTCACTTTGGTAAATAATGGGATGAAGATTCTTGTACTTGACGTTTTGCAGATCTAGATCCAGGCTGCAGGTTTAAGTCGGTTTTCTAGGAGTCCTTGGGTGGCACAAAAGTTTAAGCACTGACTACTTATCTCACGCAGTTGTTAAATGTTGTCATGTTGGTTTCCAAGGGAGCAGCTGGTGGGTTTGAATTCTCACCTTGTGGATCCCAGTTTAGTACTACTGCATCACACCAAGGCACCTTGAAAAACAAGCCTGCTGATCTGTTTCCGGAAAGGTCACAACCTTGAAAACCCAATGGGTCAGTTCTTGTCTGCACACATAGGGTCTCCATGAGTCTGAAGGGGCTCAACAGGCAGCTAACAAGGTTATATTTCTATACTGTCCTCCCTGTACCCACTCCTTGCAAAAAAAAAAAAAAAAAGTGCTGACCACGTAGATTAAACTCAAGACAAAACTTTGTACACATGTGGAGTAATGGGGGAGACTGGATTCGTTCTAATATAAACCCCATGGAAGGCAGGGAGCTTCCAGTATAATCAAGACTCAATTGATGATTATTAGTTTTTCATGTTGGCAGTTTAAATCCACAGCTGCTCCTTGGAAACCCTGTATAAGGTTGCTATGAGTCAAAACTGACTCCCTGGCACTAAATAACAACAATAATTCATCATGTAAATTTAGTGAATTGTCCATATTATTAGATAAATAACATCTGAATTTAAAAGGATTTATTCATGAGTAATTATAAAGGTACTTAATTATTTTCTTAAGTCATCTACAAATTTTTCTTCAGAGGTTTTGTTTAAATAGTAGGTTTTCAAAACATTGTTGTTAAATGCCATGGAATCTGTTCCAACCCATAGCAATCCTGTATTGGGTTTCCGAAGAGCAGCTGGTGAGCTTGAACAGCTGATCTTGTGGTTCAAGCTGACTTTGCATTCAATTACCCACAGTGCCACACCAGGACTTCTTCAAAACATTAGGCAAATGAATGAATGTACTTAGTTTGGAAATGCCTTTTGAGCTAATGGATCCACTCCTCTTTTAACTTTTCTCATGTTCCTTACCAAAAAGAGGGAAAAAAAAGTCTTATTAAGGAAGGGATGAAAAGGTTTCCAGAAATAGACTTTCCCACCCACAATTTAATAGCCTACATTTATTGAACATCAAAATTTTAATGAGTGTTATGACATAATATTAACTGATCCCTGATCCCTGTTGTACAGACTAAGGTGACATGCTTTTTCTCAAAACGCAAACAGTATGTGCTGGAATTTTGCATTTACAGTATTTTTGTCCATGTTCCATGAACCAGAGTTGTATCAGCCTAAAATAAGAATATGAATCTTTATGTTTTTAGCTAAACTTAATTGGCTATTTCTTTTTTGTTGTGTTAGGTGTGAATGCTTTCTATTGAGTTCTACGATTATCTTTTCTTTTTGTTTGTTGAGTGACCAGAGTGCTTGTGAAGAAAGTGAAAAAAGGCTTTCTTTTCTAGCCCTGCATTGCCTCATACTAGATATGAAAAGGACACCTCGATGGTGCAAGCAGTTTGCAGCTGGCTGCTAGCCTAAAAGATGGGTGTTTCCACCCACCCAACAGCTCTGTGGGAAAAAGGCCTAACTAATTGCTTCCATAAAGATTACAGCCAAAAATACCCTACGGAGTAGTTCTACTCTGTAACACATGGAGTCACCACCGTAAGTTGGCATCCATCTGAGGGCAACAGGTGTGGTGTTTTTTAATCATGTGACTTAGAACAAGTCACCTGCATGGGTTGCCCTTTTTACTCTAAATGTCAATTATTAATCAAATTAGATAGTCTTCTCAAACACTTTCTAAATTGTAAAGGGAACATACACAAGTGTAGAGTAGAGGTAAGGATAAAAGCAGGAAGAAAAATCCAGTTATTCTTGGCCTTCATTCATTCATTTCCTCCCTCATCCATTCAAATATTTATTGACTTCCTCCTAGATGCCAAGTGTTATGCAGGCACTGGAGTCCTAGTGTGGTGCTATAGGATAAGCTTTGAACTGCTAATCAGGGTCAGCAGTTCAAACCCACAGCAAGCCATATACTGGGTCTTTAGGAGTGAGAACTGACTGAATGGCATTTAACAATAACAATATGCAGAAACTGGGATACAGCAGAAAACATGAGAGAGATGGTTGCTGCCTTCATGGGGTAAACCAGCCACCCTTATGGAAATGGGCATTGACTAAATCATCACATTGTTAAGCATTAAAATGTAATGCAGCAAGTGCTAAGGAGGAGAGGTACATGGAAGATCTAATGTACATAAGAAGGGAAGAAAAGACAGCTCTGAGAAAGCAACACCAGGGCTGCGGATAGGATGAATAGGAAGGAACCAGAGGAAGAGGGCAGGGAAAAAGAGTGGAAAGGGGAGAGGAGAAGTATAAGGAATCCAGAAAAGAGCCAGCAGGACTGCAACAGAAAGAGACAGACAGTAGGGTAGGAGTCAAAGGAATGGCTACACAGTGTAACTCATGATAAAAGGTGTGTATGTGATAGAGTGAGAGAGAAAATCACATGTGTGTTTTGAAAAGGTTTCTAAGCCTGCAATGTGGAGATAACATTGGAGAGAGTTACCCATTAAGAGGTCTCATGGGTCTACCTGTGCCAGCACCTGGAATTTAAGAGGTTACTTTATGAGGAGTACATTACTGGGGAACCACTAAGGTACCCATCAAAATAAATTTCAAAATTTTGAATTCTTAATTTCTAGCCCATGTAGAAAAATGATTCCCAAGTTGTGCCTGAAGGTTAAGTGAGTTGCTTTGCCTCTCTGTACCTTTCTTGATGGTGCTTGCTGTTGTTAAGTGCCGTCAAGTTGATTCCAACTCATAGCGACCTGTATAGGATTTCATGCCATCCCAGAGTTCACCTTTCTGTAGAGACAGATTATTGCTGTTGTTAAGTGCTGTTGAGTTGGTTCCAACTCATAGCTACCCTGTATTGGGTTTCTGAGGAGTGGCTGGTGGGTGGTTCAAACTGGTTTTGCAGTCCAGCACATTAGCCTACAATGCCATACCAGGACTCTAGAGTGAGATGTTGTTGTTGTTGTTAAGTGCCATCGAGTCGGGTCCGACCCATAGCGACCCTGTACAGGGTTTCCGAGGGTGTAAATCTTTACGGGAGTAGAAAGCCTCATCTTTCTCCCGGGAGCGGCTGGTAGTTTCGAACCGCTGACCTTAAGGTTCGCAGCCCGATTCGTAACCACTACGCATAGTGAAACTTAAATGGTACAATTTCATAAACAGAGTGGTGGGACAGGAGCAAAGAAGAAGGGTCCAGGTGTACTTGGGGGCTTCTAAAGAGAAGCAATATTTGAGCTGAAATATTTGAGCTGAAATTTGAAGAATAAGAAGGAATGTGGCAGGAAGAGAGGTTGTTGTTAGGTGTTATCTAGTCGATTGTCACTCATAGTGACCTTAAGCACAAAAGAGTGAAACATAGAACCAGTCCTGCACCATCCTCACAATTGTAAACTTGAAGCCCATTGCTGCTGTCACTGTATCAATCCATCTCACTGGGGGAGGGGGGAGTTTTACACTTTTTCGCTGACCCTCCTCTTTGTCCTTCTCCAGGGACAGGCCCCTTCTGATCATTTATATGTCCAAAGCTTGAGAAACAAAGTCTTGCCATCCTAGTTTCTAAGGAGCATTCTGGCTGTTCTTCTTCCAGT